AAAAAACAACTCGTTTTTGGCTCTTTACAGATCCTATGGTTACGGTGGACTGACAAGTAGGTTTATTTTATATGATAAGTATACTAAATATCGAGTTCTTAGGTTTTCGCGATTGTTACACATAGGAAATGTCAACCGTGACCATGGGACCTGTAAAGGGCCCGAAACGTCGGTTTGTTTGAAAAAACAAATATACGCGATTTAAATCCGGAAAAATAGTTTCGTTTCCTAAGTATACTAAAGTTAAATAGTAAAAGCTCTACAATACTAGGTAGATGGTTCAAAAACAGCTTATAAGGTAACCCTACTAATACTCGAAGTTGTTGTTCGCAAAAATAGAATACATTTATTTGCATTTTAATGCGCTTTATTGTAACTAAAGCAAAAACATCATTGCTTTTTTTATCAACTGGCAATATTATTATTTCCAGATGGAAAAAATTACTTCATTTTTCAAGCCTCACGTATCGCAGCTTTGGTGGAAAAGGACTAGCGAAACTAAATATTTGTACATAAAAAAAGCGAGAGATATTTGCGAGGGATGCGAGCGAGAAATGTGTGCGAGACACGCGAGGGAGGAATGTGTGCGAGAGACGCGAGCGAGGGATGTGTGCAAAACGGTGTAGAGAACTAGAGCCACTGGTACGGTGGCACGAAAACCAACTAAGACGCAAGCGACGAGCTATGCGTTCGCCGTCGCCTCCGCTCACCCCACCACACTGCACCTCACACGCACACTGCTGAAAAGAGTTCCGTTTCGCAGCTTCGGTACGCATCCACGCACAGCATAGCTGTCTTGCACATCTTTGGAACTGATGTCAAAACCGTCGCCTGAGGGAGACTTGTGCCCAGCAATGGGACTTATAAATCGGATGATGATGATGATGGAAAAACTTATCATTTGTATAAAATACACTTTTTATTTATGCAATATCTGTATTACTTATGCAGCCAGGTAAATAATACAAAATATGTATATGGTATTATGGTACGTCCACTCGCTCCATTGCTCGTTGAGTGACTTTGAACTTTTTTATGAGGCCCATAGTAAGTGACCACGTCTCAGAGCCGTTAGGTCATCGCTGGCAACACGCACTGCTCGAAGACTTTTGTCTTCAAGGACTGCGCTATTGCGTAGGAGAAGCCGTCCCGGAGACGTCCAACCGGATTCGACGATCGAATAGATAGCTTTTACATAATTTTTAGTGTGAAACATGAGTACTTGTTAGAATGTATAGATATTGCTCTGTTTGACATAGGGCTGTCTTTATACTATAACGCAGTATATAATTTTGAAATACAACTAAGCCTACAGCAACGAGCAGAGCAAACGAAACTTATTTATTTATTTATGATATAAAAAAATAAATGTAAGTGTGTATTTGATTTCGAACTCTTTTTTTAACCGACTTCAAAAACAGGAGGAGGTTCTCAATTCGACTGTATGTCTTTTTTTGTATGTATGTTACGCGGTAACTCCTTGTGAACCGATTTTGATGTTTTATTTTTTGTTGGAAAGAAGGTTCTTCTGTAATTGTCCCAATGAAATTTGAAGAAAATATTCCATCTCTAAGGGTGGCTAACCAGGGGATGAATCCGGTTGCGCTCAATTTCAGGTAACCGATTTCAATAAACCTTGGCAAATGTAAATGTAATTCCACAAAGTTTTGAGGTAGGTTTTTTAGTACTCTATACTGAGATTATTATAATATCAAGAGACGGGACAAACAAGTCGTGCGCCTGAAGGTAAGCTACAATACACGCGTGTTCATAACAGTTGTAGTGCCACTCAGAGCTTTAAATCGCAAAGATCTGAGGGGCACTCCCACCGCGCTCGCCGTCCCCTGAGAGGAACTCTTTCACAAGGTCCTCTACTGCTACAAAACTCACCTGTTGGAAGGTGACGATGAGGTCGACGATGAAACATGCACACTTAAATAATGCCTATTCATTCTCGCCTTGAATTAGTGAGTAGACCCCGGCAAAACGTTGGGCCAAGGAGGTCCTTAAAAGAAAAAAAAAAGCATTTTTCATACATGTAATTGCAAAATTAATGGAACTCTAATATCGACTTTAGATAGAATACGTTATAGAGTAGATATCCAATTGCAACAATATGTTTCAATAAAACTGAAATACACCAATAAATTGTTCCATTTTCTAAATCCTGTTCAGTTATTTTATAGAAGAAAAGTGATTCTGGAAGCAATAAGGCGAGCAGACAATCAGTTTGTTTATATACAGGGCGGTCGGGGGACAATCAGTCGTCAATTCCCGGGGGCGCAATAAGCGTGATCCCTCAGGCGAGCGACAGAGCAGCATTTGTAGAAGTGGCTTCGTTACGAAAGTGTAACATGATAAAATTGTAATATCTTATTTAAAACGTATCTTCTCTCGAGTTTATTTTTATAGATTTTGATTTGTGTTATTGCATTCTAGTTGATTTGTTTATTGAAAAATGCTTTGAATATTTTAGTTATTTAAAAAAAATAACTTTATGGTATATTTTGAGAAAAAACGTTATAAATATTAATTATATTATGTAAGTATAAAATGTTATCAATCGTCAAAAGTATTATTGTTATATTTGTTTTGTATACAAAATGTAATAACACTTACGTAATCTAATTACTTGTTCATACAAAGATCGAATATTAAGAAAAAAATCCTTCGATCCGGATGGAGTCAAACCAACGTCTTCCAGCAAACCGTGCCAAACGCTATGCCAACTAAGCCACGGATAGATCACCGGACCTTACGAAAAATATAATATATTTTTAATAAGTTTGAATTCAGCCTAATCGAATGAGTTTTTTCTCAGTGTTCGATCTTTGTACTAAATAATAATAATTATAACAAACTAGTGGAGTAATTTCACAAAAATAATTTAATATCATGGTGGTCAAATATCTTAACATTCAATAGACTTAAAAATTATCTATACTAATTGTTTATTAATTTTCATAGCAAATTTTTAACTCTTAATAAGATCAACAAGTGCATCGGCCACTTCCAGTAAATAAAGTACACACATCGATGTAGCGACTTAGGGCGGGCGGGCGAGGAAGGCGCGCGCGCCCCAGTGCTTCCGCCTCCGAACTCGCGACAACTACCACTGGACAACTCGCCAGTTAGTGCAGCCCCTCTTACTGCACTTTTAACTCATGCTACACTTTAAATCGTATCTTCCGGTTCAAATTGTCAGTGATTTGATTTTTTAAGTGTGTGATTAAAATGTTTTTAAATGTCGCTCTGAAAATTTAGTGTACTTATACGAAAATAGTGACAAAAATAATTTTATTTTGTTCATAAAACAGTACCAGAGAATACAGATAATACATATACAATGAAATTGGTAATTGCTAAAAAGTGACAGCAGACTGAATGTGAAATAATTTATCTGTATAAAGATTAACTTACAAACGTTCTTGGTAATAGTGTAACACAGATTGAGCCCCATGCTGAGTCCATTATTAAAAAGATAAAAAAACATATCTAAAAACAAACTATGTAAGAACTCGCTGTTGTGAACTCGTCCTGCAATTTACCAGCTATGGCTGACAAGCTCCATCAATACCAGGGATTCACTGGACGTATTCACTGTGCCAGAGACAAGTACCAGGAGCGATGGGCCCAATGGAAGGAGCAGCATCCTCGAGGGTTCAAAGACATGGTCAAAGAATCCTTATTTGGTATACCCAATTCCGAAGAACCTCAACGTGTTTGGCAAGATAGTGAATATAGTGATATTTATAGGTAAATGGCGTCATTTTCTTCAATATAAATTGTTGACTAGAGATTGTTAACCAGATTTTATGGTGTGTATTCATTCCGCAATAATTAGAAAGGCGTAATAAAATTAAATATTCATATGGAGCACATCCTGAAAATGAATAATAGGCAATTGGTATTGGTATAGGTAATAAAATCACAATGTGACCCCAACGTCAAAAGTGCTTTTATATCATGAATGTCATAAAAATAATACGAAGTACACACATCAAAAGTATCCATGGATCAAGCACGTTTCGACAATTACTGAAAATCAGGTTTCTTAATAATTTTTTTTTTAACATCGATGGATTTTTTGGGTCATTTTTATAATTTGAATTTGAAAATGAAATTGACCGAAAAAATTTCATTGATGTTAAAAAAACATTAAAAAATACCTAATTTTC